TGTGTGTGTGTGTGTGTGTGTGTGTGTGTGTGTGTGCTGTCACTGTCTCTCACTTTTCATTCCTCAGCCTGTCGTCATCCTCCCATTGCTGTTTTATTTCCGCCACACTGCACCACTCCTCTTCCTCTTCAGGTCTGCAGCTCTCTCTCCTTTCTTCCACCTTATATTTTTCTTCTGTCGTTATATCTGATGGAGGTACAATAAATGTTTTAATTTGTGTAGGTTATATATGTGTGTGTGTGTACATACATATATATATATATATATATATATATTATACACGCACAAACACACACACAAAGAAAAACAAGTATAGAATAGAAAAAATAGAATAGAAAAATAGAATTTATATATATGTATGTGTATACGTATGTATGTGTATATATATATAAAATAAGTCATATACATTTTCTGCACCACAAAAAGGTCACTTACTTTGTTTTTGGGAATTTAAAAAACACAGTGGAAAGGGATATTGAGCAAAAAATAATTACAAAAATATTCCTAAGAAAATATCCAGTGTGAGTTTTTAGTTTAACTTTATAAAAATGACATCTGTTCAGACAAAGGTTTCTTTTTTAAGGATTTTTGTATTTAGTTGCATTTTAATTTTAATTGAAGATTAATTTGAATTTATTTTTAATGCAAATGTAATAAATTGTATTTCCTTTAACCGGATGTGTTCACCTTGTTGTGATTTTGTGATAAAAGAAAACGTATCATCATGATTTGCGTCTTTATCTTTGAATTTTAATATTCGGCTCGTTGACAGCCGATTCGCGAATGAATCATTCTTTTGAACCGGTTCTTTTAGGTGATTCAGTCGAGCCTATTTGCAGAGCGTATGTACTTTTTTTTATTTCTAAATAAATTTAATTCTAATTTAAAATTCATTTTAATTTCATTTTAATGCATTTTAATATAATCTCCTCACTTCGTGATAAAAGAAAATTTATAGTTATGATTTACATCATTAAATCTGTGAATTTAATATTCTAAGACATGTATGGTGTTGAAATCATAATGCAGAGTATGAAATGATGCATGATGATTGTACAGGCGTCAGTCCAGCTCATCACATCCGTTTTCTGTTTCTTAATATTATTAATTTTCGGTTTGGACAGATTGTCAATGTGGATCATTACATCATAATATTATAAATATTCACATATATCAGTTCGTTTCCTGCACGCTGATTGACTTTCCGTCTATTCAGTCGAGCCTATTTGCAGAGCGTATGTACTTTTTTTTATTTCTAAATAAATTTAATTCTAATTTAAAATTCATTTTAATTTCATTTTAATGCATTTTAATATAATCTCCTCACTTCGTGATAAAAGAAAATTTATAGTTATGATTTACATCATTAAATCTGTGAATTTAATATTCTAAGACATGTATGGTGTTGAAATCATAATGCAGAGTATGAAATGATGCATGATGATTGTACAGGCGTCAGTCCAGCTCATCACATCCGTTTTCTGTTTCTTAATATTATTAATTTTCGGTTTGGACAGATTGTCAATGTGGATCATTAAATCATAATATTATAAATATTCACATATATCAGTTCGTTTCCTGCACGCTGATTGACTTTCCCGTCTTCATTATGCGGCGATTGAGAACTAAAGGACTTCATTTCCCATAATGCAATACTGTCGCGCATGCGTAGAAGTTCTGCTTCGCAATTGGTCCAGATCAAAGGAGATGTAATGTCCCAACGTGGGCACTCGGGTCACTCATTGGCCTTAACTTGAATCTTGTTAGCCAATCAGAGTCCAGTCGTGAAAAGAGACATTAAGGCTGCAATGTTTGTACATTATGTTATGTTCTGTTATGATACGAACGGCTCCCCGCTTTGTTCTCTTTCAAACAGGATTTCATTTTAAATAGCTGAGTTTAAAATACTAATATAACATATACCAATATAATCTGGTTTCAACTGTTTTATCACTTGCATTTTTCCCGTTTTATCCTATTTAGTTAGTCTTCATAAGCAATGTAAGCGGTCGACCTTAAGAGCAGCTTTGGCTCTCCGCAGTTAATGTCAATCTCACAGTTTTATTTTCTCCTCTGATCTTTCACCCCTTTCTCTCTCCCTCTCAATCTCATATATTTATTTTAGATTTTCAGAAATCCAATACACCTCTTGCTGACTGCAGTTTGGCTCGTTGACAGCCGAGTCGAGAACGAATCATTGTTTTGAACCGGATCTTTTCAACGATTCAGTCGTGCCGAATCGCAGAGCGTTCGTATTAAATTGACATATCACAGAATGCTTGCTATATTTTCCCTCAGAACATATTAAAACTGTGGAGAATTCACATTACAAACGACAGAGATGATCAGTTTGTAGTCAGATGCAGAAGAGACATTAACATTTTCAAGCCATAGGTTCCCTCAGGATTTGTCTATGGGTTTTCGCGGCGTTTTTTTTTTAAATTTGCGTTAATTAAAGCTTTGTTCTACAGCAGACATAGTCATACCTAAATCGTGAATTCAGTCGGTTAATTTCTTTCTCTGATCACAGCGGTGACAATAGCCTACCTCAAAACCCGTAGTAATAATATTATGGTATTTTGGCTGTTTGACATGGTACATTTTTAAGGAGACTCAAGTGAATCAGTGAATCGTTCGAGCGAACCGATTCGCTAATTATTCAGAGCGCGTGTGCGCGCAGGTCAGCGCTGTTTATGTTCCTCTGATCCCCGACGCGCGCTCAGCGTGCACGCGCCCCGCACAGGCTGATCTTGTTACATTGTAGCGCGGCGTCACTGTGCGTCATAAAGAGGACGAGCGTTTGATCCGGGCGAATAGAACGTTTTTCAACTTTTCATCGGATACCTTGTCATTCTTTTCGGCTACTCGAGATCGAGCGAAGCTGGTTTACGCAGCGGACGCGGGGGGTGGGGAGGGGGTTCGGAACCGGACGGTGATTCCGGACTCGGTCCTGACCAGCGAGATCCCCGTGGATGACCTCCAGAGCCATGTATCCGCACGGAAGACCCCAGGTACCGCAGCCTAATGATCTTTCCTTTCCAGATCGTCTCTGGCGGATCGCTGAGTTGCGCGCGGCGGCCCGTTTTAATGTGCATTATGTTTGGTGTTAGGGTCAGGGTTAAGGTCACGATGAAGAGTTAATCACAGCGTTATGGGTTCAGTGATTGATGCACGGACTAAGAAAACACACAGGCCTGGAGTCCCATTACAGTCACCATAAGATATATATAAATGAGCCTATTATTAAACAGCCTTCATCTTTTAGATTGAACATGATTCTGTTCTGCACCCAGAGTTTTATCTTTCTTTTTTAGTGTTATATATATATATATATATACACACACACACACACACACACATCATTCTATATCTCAAACGCATATATATTATTTGACTATATATTACTGTATTTATCCACATCTATCATTAATTTCATTCAAGAAACCTCAAGTGGAACCAAAACTCAGTCGGGGAAATCCTTCTGCTCAAGCTGGCACACATTTAAACACAATAATACAAAGCACACATTCATATATGTACACGCACAAATGTTAATTAGAACAGGTGTAATTAATTTATTGTTATACAAATAAGTAAATATGTATACCAGATAG